AAGATACTGTTTATTCTGAACCACGGTTTTTGGAACACTGAGAAGTTTTAGGATGTTTTACCACAGTTTGGATCACTTCTGGGCCCCATTTGTCAACAGATTTAAGTCATTCTACGTATGGGGAGTTTCTCTAAGAAGAGTCTCTTCCCCCTCCCTCCCCTGCACCCATTCTTGCCCGATTTCTTTGTTTTGCAGGCGAAAAGTTTCCTTTTGCTCCCTTGCTTAAAAATTCTATTTCAGGGGTGCCTGCATGGCTCAGTCAGTTAAGCATCTGACTTCGGCTCGGGTCATGATCTTGTGGTTCGTGGGTTCGAGCCCCACTCCGGGCTCTCTGCTGTCAGCACAGAGCCTGCTGCAGATCCTCTTTCCCCTTATCTCTCTGCCCCTCTGCTGCTCATTCTCTCTCTTTCCCTCTCTCTCAAATAAACATTTAAAAAATTTCTAAAAATTATATTTCAGATTCCCCAGTCTCTTGGCTAGTGTGTGCAAATGTAGCCACCAGCTGTCACGACAGGGACACCCTCTGTGGCACTTTAGGACCTCCTTCCCCCTTACAGAGCCCCTCTGCTCATGCCCCCGGCGCACACCCACGCATACACTCACGCACGTGCACGCACACACAAGGGTGCCTACACGTGCACACACAGCAGGACATTTTGCCATGCCTCCTCTCTCCGTATCAGCCACAGGCCCCACGAGGCAGCCATCCTGAGTTAATTATTCAGCCAACATGCATAGGAGGCTTACTACGGGCCAGGCGTGGTTCTAGGCTCTGAGGAAACCACAGTGAAAAGTTTCTGCCTCTATGGAATCTATGTTCTAGAATAGCACTGTCCAGTAGAAGGTCCCTCAATGATAGAAAAGTTCTGCGCTGCTTCATACAAAAGCCACCAGCCACGTGTGGCTACTGAGCACTTGAAATGTGGCCAGTGTAACTTGAGGAACTGATTTTGTTTTTCATTTTCTTTTATTTTAATTAACTTAAATTCGAAGGGCCACATTTGCCTAGTGGCTGTCATATTGAAAGTCCTAGAGGAAGAAAAAAGTAGATAAATGCTCTCTCCTCCCTCCTTCAGTCACAAAATGTCTAAGTAAATTTTAAATATTGAAAAGTGCTGTGAAGAAAGCAAAGCCAAGCGGAGTAAGGAAACAGAGTAATGAGGGAGGCACTGATTTACTTGGGGTGGTGGTCAGGAAAGGTCTCTCTGTGGGAGGATGCCTTTTATTTTTGTTTTAATGTTTATTTATTTCTGAGTGAGAAAGTGAGAGTGAGGGGAGAGGGGCAGAGAGGGGGGAGAGAGAGAGAATCCCAAGCAGGCCCTGCACTGTCAGCACAGAGCCCAATGCAGAGCTTGAACTCACGAACTGTGAGATCATGGCCTGAGCTGAAACCAGGAGTCGGCCACTTAACCAACTGAGCCACCCAGATGCCATGAAGATGACTTTTAAATGGGGACGTGAGCACTGAGGAGCTCAGGGGTGGGAGGTTAGGGCAGAGGTCCTGTGAAGTGCAAGGGGGAGCAGGAAGTATGGGCCAGAACGTGCCGGGGTTGCAGGCTGTTATAAGGGCTTGGAGAAAGGGCTTTGTGCAGAAAGGTGACATGAACTGATTCTTATCTTAAAATATGCCGCTGCTCCAGAGAGGAAGGAAGCGGGAGACCCTTGAGAGGCTGCCACAGACTTCCAGGTGGGAGAGGACGGTAGCTTAGACAAGGCAGGGGCAGGGGGATGTGGAAGTGGTGTGAAGGGTCAGATACTAGATTTATTCTGAAGACAGAGTCAACAGCGTTGCTGACGGATTAGTTGGGGTGAGCCCAGGAGAGTTTGGGCCGGAATGACCAATGGTGGAGCCACTGACAGACATGAGAAACTCTGGAGGAGGTAACGTATGGCTGAGGGGGAAACCAAGAGTCTCAGCAGCAGGGACATGGAGGCTGAAGATGTCAGTTTGGGTGTGGTCAGCAAAAAGACACGGTCCCCTCTGCTCTGCTGTGCCCGTGTCCTCTCCTCACCAGTGCCCGGAGGGACACTCACCCACTGCTGATGACGTTGTCCAGCGTGGGAATGCCAGGGCTCCTCGTTAGAATAACTGGGTTCTGGATTCACAGGGGGAAATGCCCCTCCCCAGGTCCTGCTCAGCTTTGTCACCTGAGCCCCTAAGCAGATGTGTGTGGGCACAGTCCCGCAGAGTTGCTCGTAAAAATAAGCCTCCACTTCCACCCTTGAGCACTCTCTTCAGTGGAACTCAACCCCAAGGCAACGGGAGGGACAGGAGGTAACAGCCATCTTTTCCCTTTCCCTTCTCCCCAGGTGTCAGCTCTACTCCTTTCAAAACACATCTCCCTTCTCCTTTAAGCACAAAATGAAAGACGCCCTCTACACCAGCCCGTGCATTTACACACTGGACGCTGCCACTTCCCCGGCTTTGCTACTCCTAATAAGCAAATTGTTCCTGTACTCCCAAATTAATATTTGTTTAATGCAATTCCAATCAGAATTCTAACAGGATTTTATTTTGCAGATGATTCTGATTTATGGGAGTTGATTTATATGAAGAAATGACCAAATTAAGGAGGAGCTCACTCTACCAGACATTAAAACATACTCTAATCTACCAAAAAAAAAAAAAAAAATTAAGTCGTGTGTCAGTAGCTAGATAAGAGGCACAGAATAAATGACCCAGAAACGCCCTAGTATATGTAAAAATGTAATGTATGACAGAGATGATTTCACAAATTAGTGAGAACACAATACATGCTATGAGATAATTGGTAACTCTCAAAAAAAATGGTTAGAATTGTATCTTACAGCTTAACCCAAGATCAGTTGAATTCCAAATGCATTAAATGTAACAAATAAAGCTAAAACACTCTGAGAAAACATAGAATGATATGTCTCAGCTATCAAGGCAGGGAATCACTTTTTTTTTTAATGTACAAGTGATTTTTATTTATTTTCTATTGAAGTATAATTGACATATAAGATCCTGTTAGTTTCAGGTGTGCATCAGAGTGATTCTGTGTTTTTATACATCATGAAATGATCCCCACAATCAGATAGTTACCATCTGTCACCATACAAAGTTAATACAATATTATTGAGTATATTCCCTATGCTGTACATTACATCCCAGGACCTTTTTTTTTTTTTTTTTTACAACTGGAAGTTTGTACCTCTTAATCACCCTTCGCCTACTTCATCTGCCCCTCAAACCCTCCCCTCTCTGGCAGCCAGCAGTTTGTTTCTTGTAACTGGGAACCACTTTCTATATAAAAAATCACAGCAAAAGGAGCCACAGAAGAAAAAGGTTGGTAAATTTGCTGCCTAAAACGTAAAACTTTTGCATGTAAAAACACGAAAAATGCCATCTACGAACGAACACGAATGAACATAAAAGGTAAACGATCGACTAGAATCATTTCGCAACAAATATAATAAAGTACTGATGCTCTTAATATAGAGACTTGTAAATCAATAGTAAAACCACTGAGCATCACAAGAGAAAAATGGCATGAATAAACAATTCAAAAGGAAAGAACACACAGGCCAAGTAAATCTACGAAAGCAGTTCAACCTGATTAGCAATGAAGGAAGGCACAAAAGTGTATTAAGATCATCTAACCCTGGGGCGCCTGGGTGGCTCAGTCGGTTAAGCGTCCGACTTCGGCTCAGGTCATGATCTCACGGTCCGTGGGTTCGAGCCCCGCGTCGGGCTCTGTGCTGACAGCTCGGAGCCTGGAGCCTGCTTCGGATTCTGTCTCCATCTCTCCCTGCCCCTCCCCGGCTTACAGTCCTTCTCTCAATCTGTCTCAAAAAATAAATAAACGTTAAAAAATTTATTTAAAAAAAAGATGGTTTAACCCTATCTAATCAGCAAGGCGTTTCCATGGTAATATTCCATGTAGGTTGAGTGGTAAGTTGGGCATTCCCGTTCATTGCCAGGGGAAGGGCCAGCTGATGGAAAAGTTGGCCAAATGAGTGAAGAGAACTTAAAATGCACATATCCTTTAACCCAGTGCTTCTGTGTCTAAGCATTCATCCTAAGGACTTACCAGAAATAAGGACTCACGATGTTGCCTGCAATTTTGTTGAGCAGAGCCAAAAATTGAAGAAAAAAAAAATGTCCAACAAAAGCTGAATGACTAAATGTATCACATGTGTATATCCCCCCAAGGTAGTATCATGCAGCCATGTTTAAGTCATTATTTTGTTCATTATTTATAGAAAGAGGGAACATTTCAAGTGAAATAAAGGAACTACAGTATTCAGGGTGATTTTTTTCTCCTTTATACTTGAAAGCATTTTCTGGATTTTCTATACTGGTGACTTCTGTGATAAGAAACAAGAGTTGATATCCATTTTCTAATACCCATATAAACACCATTTGGTGGCCCCAGGTAAGCCTCTTGCTTCTGATGTACCATCAATTAAAGCAGCTTGAGAGCCCAGCGACATCTCGACGTCTCATCTCTGCCACCCCACCCACCACTTCAGAGCTTAGAGCCTTCATTGCATTTCTGTATCTGTTTGCCTCTAAACATGAACGAATGACCTGCACCCTCCTTTGCTTGCGTTGGGCCGGTTCCCACTGCCCTTCCCAAAGAAAGGAAGAAAAGAATGTGATCTTTTATTTTCATGTGCACCCTCTCTCACTGTCTGTGCGTACCTAGGTGTCTGCTTTATTGTGGGTGCCAGTTGGGGTGGGTTAGAAAGAAATGCTAGTTTCTTCTGCCTTGTGGAAAAACACTGACCCTATCTTTGTTCTTGTCCCACAGATATGATGCTGCCTCTTGTGTTTAGCCATTGGAGCAGTTACAGTTTTTTGTGCTGAGATCATTCTGAACACTCAAACACTAGACTTCAGCATTCAAGGGAAGCCAAAGCCATTGGAGGGGGAATAAAGCCCAAAGCCTTTTATCTGATTTGCTCCAAAAATTTCACTGCCCCTTCCCTACCCACCCCCCTCCCCAAATTTAAGCTGTTGCACACAGACAGACGGCATGGCGAGCAAGCGAAAATCCACAACCCCGTGCATGGTTCGGACATCACAAGTAGTAGAACAAGATGTGCCCGAGGAAGGAGACAGGGCCAAAGAAAAAGGAAACAGCACAACACAGCCTGAAACAACCAAGGACAGTTGGACAGTAGAACCCGAGAACTCTTCCAAAGAAAATGAAGTGATAGAAGTGAAATCTACAGGGGAAAACCAATCCAAAAAACTCCAAGGTGGTTATGAATGCAAATACTGCCCCTACTCCACGCAAAACCTGAACGAGTTCACGGAGCACGTTGACACGCAGCACCCCAACGTGATTCTCAACCCCTTATACGTGTGTGCCGAATGTAACTTCACAACCAAAAAGTACGACTCCCTGTCTGACCACAACTCCAAGTTCCATCCCGGGGAGACCAACTTCAAGCTGAAGTTAATCAAGCGCAATAATCAAACTGTCTTAGAGCAGTCCATCGAAGCCACCAACCACGTCGTGTCCATCACCACCAGCGGCCACGGAAGCGGCGACGGTGATCCCGGAATCTCAGTGAGTAAAACCCCCATCATGAAGCCAGGGAAACCAAAAGCCGATGCCAAGAAGGTGCCCAAGAAGCCGGAGGAGGCCACGCCCGAGAACCACGTGGAAGGGACTGCCCGCCTGGTGACAGACGCGGCTGAGATCCTCTCGAGACTCGGAGGCGTGGAGCTCCTCCAGGACACATTAGGGCACGTCACGCCTTCTGTCCAGCTCCCACCAAATATCAACCTTGTCCCGAAGGTCCCCGTCCCGCTGAATACTACCAAATACAACTCTGCCCTGGATACGAATGCCACCATGATCAACTCCTTCAACAAGTTCCCTTACCCGACCCAGGCCGAGTTGTCCTGGCTGACAGCTGCTTCCAAACACCCAGAAGAGCACATCAGAATCTGGTTTGCCACACAGCGCTTAAAGCATGGCATCAGCTGGTCCCCGGAGGAGGTGGAGGAGGCCCGGAAAAAGATGTTTAATGGCACCATCCAGTCAGTACCCCCCACGATCACCGTGCTGCCGGCCCAGCTGGCGCCCACAAAGATGTCACAGCCCATCCTCCAGACAGCTCTGCCGTGCCAGATTCTCGGCCAGACCAGCCTGGTGCTGACTCAGGTGACCAGCGGATCAACAACGGTCTCCTGCTCCCCCATCACGCTTGCCGTGGCCGGAGTGACCAACCATGGCCAAAAAAGGCCTTTAGTGACTCCCCAGGCCGCCCCCGAGCCCAAGCGTCCACACATCGCTCAGGTGCCAGAGCCCCCGCCCAAGGTGGCCAACCCTGTGCTGACGCCAGCCAGTGACCGCAAGAAGACAAAGGAGCAGATTGCGCATCTCAAGGCAAGCTTTCTCCAGAGCCAGTTTCCTGACGATGCTGAGGTCTATCGGCTCATCGAGGTGACCGGCCTTGCCAGGAGTGAGATCAAGAAGTGGTTCAGCGATCACCGGTATCGGTGTCAAAGAGGCATCGTCCACATCACCAGCGAATCCCTTGCCAAAGACCAGTTGGCCATCGCAGCCTCCCGACACGGCCGCGCGTACCACGCGTACCCGGACTTTGCCTCACAGAAATTCAAAGAAAAAACACAGGGTCAGATTAAAACCCTGGAGGACAGCTTTTTGAGAAGCTCTTTCCCGACCCAAGCAGAACTGGATAGACTAAGGGTGGAAACCAAGCTGAGCAGGAGAGAGATCGAATCCTGGTTCTCAGAGAGACGGAAGCTTCGGGACAGCATGGAACAAGCAGTCTTGGATTCCATGGGGACTGGCAAAAAAGGCCAAGATGTGGTGGCCCCCAATGGTGCTCTGTCTCGACTTGACCAGCTCTCCGGTGCCCAGTTAGCCAGTTCTCTGCCCAGCCCTTCACCAGCAATTACGAAAAATCAAGAACAGGTACATCTCCTGCGGAGCACGTTTGCAAGAACCCAGTGGCCTACTCCCCAGGAGTATGACCAGTTAGCAGCCAAGACGGGCCTGGTCCGAACTGAAATTGTGCGCTGGTTCAAAGAGAACAGGTGCTTGCTAAAAACCGGAACCTTAAAGTGGATGGAGCAGTACCAGCACCAGCAGATAGGGGGAGATCACGTTTACGACGCCCCACCAAGGAAACCAGTGAAAGCCGTCATCACCGAGAGTCCAAAGAACGGAAGTGACGTGGGTCAGCAACATTACAAGGACCCCAAAAAGCTCTGTGAAGAGGACCTGGAGAAGCCGGTACCCAGGGTGAAAGTGAGCAACGAGCAAGCCAAGGATGGTGTGCCGGCCAAGCCTTCTGAAGCCACCTCGGACAGGTCGGAGGGCAGCAGCCGGGACGGCCAGGGCAGCGACGAGAATGAGGAGTCGGGCGTTGTGGATTGGGTGGAGGTCACGGTCGGAGAGGAGGACGCCATCTCAGACAGGTCGGATAGCTGGAGTCAGACGGCAGCCGAAGGCACCGCAGAACAGGCCGGCTCGGACTCCGACAGCATCCCTGCCGAGGCTGGCCAGGCCTAACAGGTAACCCCCTCCCGGCTCCCCGCAGGAAAGTAGGCGAGGGTGCTGGCTTGCTTTCTCTGTATTGCCAGAGTCCATATAGGTTGTAGGGTACGGAGATGTTGACACAGATGATGAGTTCTTTTTAAAAGTTCTTGTTTGAAAAAGGAAGGAAACCAGGGATGCTGGCAGGCCAGGTCAGAGGACCTGGAGGGGGTCCCGCAGGACCAGTCAGAACGGTCCTTGGCTTCATGCAGGATGGAAAGCAGGTGTGAGCCAGCAGGAGGTGAGAGCAGAGTTTACTGAAGGGAGAGAGAGAGGGATTGAGAGCAGATACGGACGGAGCGTCTGGGAGACTTAAAAAGGAAAGGAGCAGGAGTCTCATCTTTGCTTGGGGTCTGGGGATTTTATTGACCATTGCGGTCTGGAGCACATGTCCTCTCAGGCATCCAGGAACTCAGGGTCCAGGTGTCCATCATAAGTCGCTCGTTCCCTGGAGTCAGGGAATTTTGACGACGAGATGTCTAGAGTCAGTGGTCTGCAACAGGCAGGCGTGTGCCACATGATGGCCTCGCCTGGTCCTTCCTGAGATGTTATCTACTGTGCTAGAAGGCCCCAGAGAAGTCATGAACTCCTGGTCCCTTGTAAGGAGGACGTACGTTAAGGCATGTGCAGCGCGGGGGGTGCAAGTCCTAGCGAGAGAGAATAGAAGCAGGAAAGGGAGCAAAAAGCAGATTTTATGGAGCCCTTCAGTTTCCTGGTCTCACTAGCGGCTGGTGGATTTTGTGTCCTCGTTTGCAAGGCCCTGCCCATGAGTGACAGCGCTGTGGCATACCTTGGACGCACCCTCTGGGGCCTCTCCGTTCCTCAGTCTACAAGCAGTTATAGGGACACAGCCTCTGCCTGCTTTCTGTTTGCTGCTGTAAGAAACGGACCTGAAAAGGATGTGTCTTTTCCTTTTGCTTTCTGTGTTGTTTTGTTTTGTTTTGTTTTCATTTTCATTTTCTTTCCTTTCTTGGATTTTTAAGGGTAGCTAACCAAGTTTACTGGCCAGAGATTTGGGGTTGTTTCTTTCAACCTGACAGGTTTTGGTGTTTGCCCAGTCATGGCTGAAGGAAGGCGAGTTTCTCACTATATAACACAGCTCATAATTGTGCTGAGTGGGTCCCCAGAACCCCTTCAAATCTGGAAGAGACTGGTGTAAATTAGGCCTGTGGAGCCACAAAAGCCTGGGAAGGGAGGTTGCCATGGTTACTAATGGCCGTGTCATCCACATGATGGGACATGCACCCAGGCCCTGGTGTTTGTGCTTTCACAAGAGGTCTGTGCAAATCAAGGCCTCAAAACACAGCAGCTTGCTTGGTGGTAGGTTTAGAATAGAGGGGGCAGCGGGGAGAGGGGTGCAGGAGGCAGAGAGCCGACCTTGGCCAAAGCTGACACATTCCACGGGCAGCTTGGAACCAGGAGGGAGAGGTGTGATTTACGCTCTGCCCAGATTGGCTTCTCCAGAGGTCACTTAAAAGGCAACAGAAGCCCCCCGCCCCCCCCATCATGTCATCTTTAAAAATAATGAAACAAAGGTAAGAACCTCCAGAATGATTGATAAGGTCCCGAAGGGAGCCCTGGAAATTACCATGCTTCTTTATTAACGACTTCAGACAACTTTGGCTGGTCATGCCCCTCATCAATTCATTTATTTCATAGTAAGAAATAGCAGTAAAGAAATAAATGAAAAAATAAAGTCTTCTTAGAAACCGTATTTTAGCCGGTTCCATCAGTTAGTGAAAGAGCAGTTGAAGGAACAGCCAATCAAAGATGCCATCAGGGCTTCTTCCCGCCGCCCCCCCCGACTTTTCAAGGGGGAATCGTAATGGGGTACAGGTGAGGAGGCGGTCCAGAGGGGAGGGGCTAGTGGCAGGAGGGGGCTAAAGTCCAATAGTACCAACTGCCCCCCACCATCTGGCTACCTTGGTTCCTCCCTCTGGCTATTCTCGTACCTTCCTTTGAGACCTAGCTTGCCCTGTCTTCTATCCTTGACCTTTTCCAGTGCGTGACATAAATTTACCCGATTGCTTTTTCCTCCTGCCACGGAGTAGACAATAGGGTTCAGTTCAATCCAGCAAATACATTCTGCACACCTACCGTGTGCCAGTCTCTGTGCTAAGTGACAGAGATAACGGGATGAAGAAAGCAGATAAGAGTCCTTTCACGTGGTGCTCAGTCAGGCCAAGGAGAGAGGAAATTGCTCTTTCCTTTACTAGCCGGGGTGATCCATGGTGTGATAGGGACACGCCCAGCTGTGCACTGGAGCACGCAGGAGGGGCATCCAGAGGTCAGGGCAGGCTTCCCGGAGGAAGGGATATCTGTCTCAGAGACTAGCTGAAGGGAAGGGGCTGGCCGGTGCACTGACAAGGAAGAGTGGCTCATGTGGAAAGGGACAGACAAGGAAAGTTCCAGAGATGAGAAAAAGAATGGTACAGTTGAGGAACCAAGAGAGTTTGGGCACAGCCAGAAAGCCGAGTTTGGGGTTCAGGAGACGATGAGAAAAGGCAACTCAAAGAAATGACCGTGGTTTTCCACAGCAAGCAAAAGCTGTTCTGAACCAGCTGTGTTGGCCGAGTTTGAGAAGAATTGTGAGTGTCCCGTGTCCCAGAGTGAGCTGGGATGGCACTTCCAGGTCCCCATGGCTGAGTGGGGTTTGTCTAGGGGTAGCAGCTCCCCAGCCCTGAGGCCACCTGTCCCCATCCCTTCTCCCCCAAGCTGTACCACCACCGACAGGGGAACATGCCCAGCTCTTCTGCCTACCATCGGGCCTGTTCCCCACGAGAGGCCCAAGAGAAACATAAAGGGGGAAGCAATGCTAAAACCATTAATGAGCAGCTTTGGAGGGAAGGGAGGAAGGATGGAAGGGTGGGCGCAGGGCCTCCTGAGCACCAGAGGCTGAGCTAAGTGCTCTGGCCCCAGATGGTCTTCCTCGGTGCTCCTAGTGACGCCGAGAGGTAAGCTACTGTATATTTTCATAGGCCTAGAAACTGAGGCTCAGAAACCAAGGAGCGTACCCTCCTTCTCCCAACCAGCATCTTGGCTTCCCTCCACAGCCCCGCCTCCTACTGCTGTCTCTGCCTCTCTGTTTCTGACAGAAACTCCCTGTCTCTGGATGACCCCCAGGGTGGGGTTGGGAGGTGGGTGTTTAGATTTGACAGTTGATATTAGATAATTCAGAGATGAAGGAACTGGCTGTTTTCTACCTCCCACCCACCCACACACACACACAAACCCAGAAATACCGTGGAACCCCCTTTTATGTTTATTTATGGCGAATGCCCTCAAGTGTGAGCTGAAAAATGTTCCCAAACAAGATGCTATGGTCTGCTTGACACCGGGTAGCACCCAGTGTCCCTACTGGCTTCCTGATGTTTCCGAGGTGCTACTGCATTGAGAAAAGGGCTGCGGGTCTGGCCTGGTGGTGGCATCCCGGACAGAGGCACCCACTTAAGGGAACCTTTCAACTCAGAGGGAAGAAATCCCTCCAAATTACTTCACAGCTTTTATGAACCGAACACATGGGTCTCTTGAAATTCATAAATATTCAGTGATGCCTTTATTTAAACACATATTTATTTAGGAAACTGCAGTTGGGTTCAGTTGTTACACATACGATAATCCTGAAAATAATGCACAGTTTCAGCTTCGTAAAAGGTGTTATGGGATGTACGTATGAGAAAGAGAAAGAGAGAGAGAGCAGCTGAGAGCAAACTCCAGGGTGGGGTTTCCTCCTCTGTTGTGGTTCAGCATCCCCTCCGCCAAAGCTTCACAAGCTCACGACAGCGTTGACTCGGGCCAGGTTCACTCAGCCTTGAGGGCAGACAGAAAGGGACTCCTTACCTTTGAATTGTGTTGTGATGATTCATCCTCCGGGGCCAAACAGTTATGGAGCTATCCATTGAGAGACCTGTCGTGGTAAGAGGCTGAACAGTAAATTCCTCCTTTCCTAAAAATGAGTCAGAATACTTGAGCCAAACATTGCCAGACATATGCCTCAATGTTTGGCCAGATGGAATATCCCAGTACTCCTACTACTAAGAATTTCTATATACCGGTATATGCCATGTACTTGGCATTCTTCTTAGCACATCCATTAAATCATTTAAACCTCACTTCATCCCCGTGACATAGGTATGGCCTTCTTCCTGTTGTGCAAAGGGCAAAACCGAGGCTCAGAGAGACCCGTGGGTTCCTCAGCTAGCAGCTGGTGGCGCCCGGAGGCCACCTCTCATCTGTGAGGCACCAGTGCCTGACCCAACCACAGTTGGTACGACTGCCACGGGGCAGGGCAGACCAGCAGGACTTGACTCTTTCTTAATACTATAGTCAAACACGAATACACAGTGACTCGTGCACTAACTTGGCTACCTCCCAATTCCTGACAGTTTCCAACTCATGATTAGGGATGGCTTTGGACAAGAGATAAATTTCGTGGGGCGCCTGGGTGGCGCAGTCGGTTAAGTGTCCGACTTCAGCCAGGTCACATCTAGGTTGAGCTGTCCGCGGAGTTTCTCCCATTCCAGATCACTTGGGCTGAGGCTCGAGCCTGAGGCTGTCCCTCACTCTGTGTCTCCCTCTCTCTCTGCCCTCCCGTTCATGCTCTGTCTCTCTCTGTCCCCAAAATAAATAAACGTTGAAAAAAAAAAATTAAAAAAAAAAAATTTGATGAAAATTTTCCAGGAGGTTCGAGCTTGTTAAAAATTCAAGGCTACCAACTGGTGCATCCTGGCTACACTTTAGGATCCGTCAGCTTCTACAGTCTGTTCCAAGGATTATGCTGCTTCCTAATACAGATATTTGAATGAGTGGATGGATGGATGGATGGATGGATGGATGGATGCATGGATGAAACTGTAATTATCTGTTTCTCTGGCTCTCCCCACCAGACCCTTGAATATAGGGACCATATCCTATTAATCTCTGAGTCCCTAGTGCCTAATTTGGAGGGGGTGCTTAATAGCAATGTGTTGAACCAA